TTGGGGGCTCATGGCAGAGCCCCCCCCTGCACAGCACGGGGCAGTGGAGCCCAGCTGCGCTCAGCCCCAGTGGCCCCAGCTCCCAGACAGCATACGGCACCCTGCCAAGCCGTGCCGCATCTGTGCCGTGGGGCAGCTGCCGCACAGGGGAGGTCAATCCCTACTGCCCCATGCTGTGCCGGGGGGGGTGCTCTGTCATGAGCACCCAGAGGCCCCAATCACTACTCCTGCAGCCAGTGAGAATGGGGCTTTTATTTATTTTTTATTAAGTGCCAGGACTAGGCTGGGGCCGGGCAGGGCAGCCATGGTGGCTTCTCCCATGGCTCCCCCCACCTGGGCAGAGACAGGCACAGCCGGAGGAGCCTGCCTCTTTCCGGTCAATCCAAATCTGTCCAAATCAGCACCGAATCTTCCAAAGCTGATTCGGCCGAATTGATTCAGGGCAGTGATCTGAATATCCAAATCGAATTACTGTCCTCTGAATCAGCCGAATCTGAATCGAATACTTCCCTATTCGCACAGGCCTAGTATTCAGCATGTTATAACAGGGTAAAAGAACTGGGAGCCTCCATAGGTGGATGTGGGATCACAGAACCAAGGGTGCAGCCACGCTCCCTTTTGCAGTATAGCATATGCGCAGTGAAAAAAGCTCATCGCACACGTGACATACTGGTGGTGTGGCTGTGGCTGCTACCCTCCACTGTGATCTTGGATGCCAGTGAGGTCTGCTGGAGCTCGCCCTATGCTGTGAGCTTTACAAGCTCACTGGCATGTCGCCTGCAGTCTCTTCTTTTAGCTCTGAAACCTACTGCTCTTAGCTCCACCCCCCCCCAATTCAGCAGCAAGAGAAGGGAGGGCCTCAATAAAAGCAGGAGCTGTTTTTGCGCCTGCCACTGCTACTGCTTCTCATCCCCTCCTTTTCCTTGCTGCTGAATTAAATGGGGGTGGAGGACGAGGGAGGGAAGTACTAAACAGCTGTAGGCTCCGGAGCTGCTTGAAAGAAGGGATTCTGGGTACACCAGCTTGTAAACTCATAAGAAGACCCACAGGAGCTCTGGAAAGCTCACTGCATATGTAACACACAGCCAAAGTGGGCAGGAGAGGGAGGTGTGCATGTGTGTGCACATGTATGAACATGGGTTTATGTGACTGGTACTGCACCCCCTCTGGATCCATCCCTCCAAGCCCTAATGTATTGACTGAGGTAGGTGCGGCTATTCCCTATAATCCCTGCCCAAAGTAATATTTTCATACAGTGCACAGCATCTATACTATGCAAAACTTTGAAAAGATAATTGCTTATTTCCATGTGATTGTTGCCATGTTTGAGGAACAGAGAAGGGAGACAATCCTGTTCAAAGAGGGAACAATAGTGACTTTCTCAAAAAAAAAAAAAAAAAAAAATAGAAAGAGGGGCAGAGGTTACAATGAGTAGCTAAGCAAAAAATGAAATGTGTGAGTAGTTAAGCAAAACAGGAAATGTGACTGGAACTTTCATAATTTCTCCTGTTTTTGTTTTGTTTTTTAACAACTCTTCCCTCTCTCTCCTCAAAGAGGATGAATGTAGGCCTCAGAGTCTTCCTTGTGATAGCAGATAGTTTGCAGCAGAAAGATGGTGAACCACCAATGCCAACAACAGGAGTCGTTCTTCCCTCAGGAAACACTCTGCGTGTAAAGAAAATTTTTCTTAATAAAACTTTGACAGATGAAGAAGCAAAAGTTATAGGTCTGTGGTATTCTTTCATAAGTGTCTAGATGGCTTAAATGCATGTATACGTACTTACTTATATTGAAACTGTAAATTTGTATTCCATATTTACTTGTGATTTAAAAAAAAATGTGTGTAATGGTAATGAGGTTAAAAAATTTTCATAGTATATTAGAATTGTATGAAATCTGGTGCAAGAGACCACATCCTTAGCTCTCTATCTAGATGCTTTGCACTTTACAGATAGCACAGAGCAGCCCGAAACCTATCCTAGTATGGTTACTTGACCATTTCCAGGGACATAAGGGATGATTGGGGTTGGAACTGTTGTTTTCTGTTGTTTCCCTGCTAATAGAATAGTCTCTAAACAACCATTCCTGCATGTATAATTTAAGAGCAGAGCAGACATTGAGCTGTCTTTGAGTTATTGTTGAGGGCTAGGTTGTCATCAAGACTGAAGAAAAAGGAGAGCTAAATGCCATTTCATTCCACTTAGTTTCTCATATTCCTTCAAGAATAATTATTTACCTTTATATAATAATATAGTTTATTATTTTAAAGTGAAGATATTTGTGCAATAATTCAGTTAAGAAATTGGATATTTAAATACTTATCCTTTGTACAGTAAGATACCTGTTTTAACTTAAAGAAATATCAAATACGGCATGTAACTAAGTTGAAAATAACATTTTAAAGTTGAAAGGTGATGCTGAACTCTTTGACTTTTCAGGAATGTCAATATACTACCCTCAAGTCAGAAAAGCACTAGATAGCATTCTTAGACATCTGGACAAAGAAGTTGGGAGGCCAATGTGTATGACTAGTGTGCAGATGTCCAATAAGGAACCTGAGGACATGATTACGTATGTACCATATTATGATTTAATCATAATTATTGCCATATCCTTGTAATTAATTTCTGTGTCTTAATGAAATATAGCGGTAACTTCATCAGTACCTTAACATGTTCATTTTTATTTTGATGATAAAATCTGCCATTAAAAGTACCAAATTAAACTGCAAATCAGCTCAATTATGCTGCTGCTGCTGATGATAATGCAGTATTATTATTAAAAACTTTAATTTGTTACCTGGGCTTTGAACGGAGCTTTGAAAATTTGGAGATGCATTGCTGCAAGTAGGCTTCCTTTTAACTTTTCTTTGGTGCATAGGGGTGAGAGAAAACCCAAGATTGATTTGTTCAGAACTTGTATTGCTGCTATCCCAAGATTGATTCCAGATGGCATGAGCAGGACTGATCTCATTGAATTGCTAGCAAGGTAAGTAAAAGCATGCCTTCCTCTCAAAAGGTTGTCTAACTTTATTCCAACTATACAGTTGTCCAATAGAAGATAACACCCTAAAAATATTTGCTTCTCATATAGTTCCTGTATCATTATTCTTACACTGTTGTAGCTAGATGTCTTTTAAAAAAGCTATACATATAATTTATGTCCCAAATATAAGTCCCAAGGCCAAAAATATAGTAAATGTATTAACTGGTAGTATTCCATTAAAAGTGTTATTTTTCCTCACTTAACAGACAAAACAGTAGCAGAGAAGAACTTAATCTTATTTTAAAAACACCTGAAAGATAGGATCTTGCACAGAAGAATAGACCTTCAAAGAGAGACCATTTATAGAAAAGTAGAAGTTTATATTTCAGTTCCTTTGCTATTTAGATACAACTTTTTCTCATCGCTATCTTTTTCTTTTGTTGATTACACTGTGAAGACACTCTCTTGTTTGACATCATCAGATCTATCAAAATTTAGCCACAGAGTTGAAAAGGGCTTGAATTTTGTTTCTTCTGCTTCGTTTCTCTTTTTCTTTTCTTCCTTGGCTAACCTCTCTACCTGTATTCTTCTATTTTTTCATTTCCCTGAAGTGAAGAGCATATGGGTGCCACCCACAGCTCATTTTTCTGCCTGAATTATTTATCAGGGCTCATGATTCTGACCATAAATTGCATCCAATTGCAGGGCTTGGTGGCCATGTGGCACAGCTACTCGTGGTGAGGTAGCTCCTATAAAATACCACACTGTTGCAGCCTCCTGAGTAAGGCAAATGTAGGGAACCTCAAAACCCTAGCCCCCACTGCCTTGTGGCTACACTTTGGTTGGAGACAGGCTAAGAGACATCACTGTGACAGAAACATGCCCTCACTGAGGAGTTAGGCAGTCAGCAGCAGCTCTAATCTGTTGCTCTCTAATAAAAGTTAGAGAGCAACAGATACTGTTGCAGCTACTGTTTTGTCTGCTAACAGAAGTTATCTTGCTGGGATCCTATTTATCTTGCTGACTTCCTGCCCCTGGGCAGGGGGCTGACTCGATGACCCTCCGGGGTCCCTTCCAGCCCAAATGTCTATGAAATCTATGAAGTTGCAACCATTGAGGCATTGAATGTTTGGACTCACCATGGCCTTTGGACTCTGTCTCAGTGGCCTAAAGGGGGAACAGTAGGTCTAGGGCAGCCTCCACTACTCCATACTCTTGCACTGAAGGTTTTGGTGTGATAGTCAGATAGACGTTTTGTGCATACACTATAATCCAGAGGATTGACAGTTGCCAACATTCTGATGTAGATGAATGAGGGATTTGTGCTATAGGCAGGGGGAATGTTTATGTATGAAGTAGAATAAAAATTCCCTTCCCATAATCAATTTTTTTGTTCCGCATATATTGAAAAAGACAGGGAAGAAGAAAAATTTAGCTCAGCTGATCAGGAAGTACCTGGAACTAGCAAAAAATTCTTTTGCCTTGTACTTTATCCACTGTCACACGGCTTCTAGTACTTCACTGTAATCCTGAAAATGTCACACTCATAGTCTGTCCTAAATAGTCCAGCTATGCATAGGATGGAGCAGCACAGTTTATCTAAATAATGAAATTGTCTCTGTGGGTGGGGTTGAGCATTATCATGCAGAAGTAGCACCTCGGACACCTCTGCTGGGATGGGCTCTTTGCATGTAATGTACCAATTTCTTCACAGTCTTGACATAGATCTCTGAGTTTATTGTGGTTCGCTTAGGCAAGGCATCATCAAGAACACCTTCCATGTCCATGGCCTACTTACAAGATAAAAGTTAGAAGGCGTTACTTGCCGATGGACCCTTGTATAATATCAGGATACATGTTCTTGTTCATCAGTGGAAAAAGACCATTGACAGAGAAGGAGACCATGTCTGGCACATGCCCAAGTTAAGCCAAATTTGCACAAAAGTATAACTATATTGACTTTAGCCTGAAAAAGTAACTTCTAATGCCAAAGAATGCCTGTTCAGAAGTCTGAAGTATTTGCAGGCATTGCTTAGTCGAATACAAAAGTGTGCCCACCTGAACGTGTGGTCCTTTCTCTTCAAAATTACTTGATTTCACCCTTAATTATTTAAATGTTATTGCTCTACTCTGCTGTGGTAGGAGCATATATTGTTAAATAGTCTGCTTGGGGGCTCTGTATGTGAATGGGCAAAAAATTGAAAGATGAACTTCAGCATTCACAAGTACAAGCTAATGTACATGGGGAAAAATATTCTCAGTTATACTCAGTGCTTGGTTGTGAACTAGCTGTTATGACTCAAAAGTGACTTTGGGGTCATTGTAGATAGTTCTCTAAAAACATCAGCTAAAGTGCAGTCATGACCAAAAAAAAAAATATTGGACATCATTAAGAATGAAATTGAAAACAAAATGGAAAATATAATTGCGCAATTACACAAATCCATGGGGCACCCACAACTTCAATACTGTGTGCTGTTCTGGTCTCTGCACCTCAAAAAAGGATGTAGTAGAAATAGAAAAGTTACAGAGAAGGGCAACCAAAATGATCACGGACCTGGAGCAGTTGCCATACCAGGAAAGACTGAAAAAACAAACAAACTAGGACTCTTCCATTTGGAAAGAAAGCAGCTGTGCAGCATGATAGAGGTCTGTAAGATCGTTAAGGATATGGACAAAGTGAAAAGGGAACTGTTACTTACCAAGTCGTAGAATTTTAGAACTAGGGGGTACTCACTGAAATTAGTAGGAGACGGGTTTAAAACTACCAAGAGAGTTCTATTTTATACACCATGTATAAGTACTATACCAAGAGGAAGTACTATTTTATACAGTATTTGTTGCACTCATTACCACAGGAGATTGTAGAAGCAGATGCTATAGCCAAGTTCAGAAAAAGACTAGATAAATTTATGGATGATAGCTCTATTAATAGCTATTTAATAGAACAGTCAGGGATGAATCTCTAAACCAATGATGGTTAATGCCAAGGAGGTATGGCAGGGATGAGAACACTCGACTAGTGGTTTTCAACATTTTTTCCTAAAAAATTTCAAATGGAGGTGCTAGACCTCTTTGAATTGTAAATGTGGGTCATACTTTTGAATTATCATAATCATCTTTGTGGACCTTGTAGACATAGTCTGCGGACCCTGAGGGGTCTGAAGATCACAGGTTGAAAACCACTGCTCTAGACATACCCTGTTCATATGGTCTTCCTCTAAACCATCTACTGCCACTGTTGGAGACAGGGTACTGGGCTAGATGGACTGTTGGTTTGATGCAATATGGCACTTGCATTCAGAAAGAGGTAGTTAGCTTTATTAGTCTGAATTCAGGCAGAAGGCAGGATAGATTTATAGACTAACTGAATCCCAGCTGTATAGCAGAAGTTTTCGTAAGCAGAGACTTAATTCATCAGATGCTGTGTGAGCAGAATAAGCTCTCCACTTACAAAAGCTCTGGTATACATCTCTGATTTAGGTGGAAATCTATTCTGCTTTATGTTTGGGATACAGCTTCAAAGATTTAGGTGTGCTAATTCAGGAACAAGTCAGCCCTGTAGGCTGGAAAATAGTTTAAGCCTTCCAGCACAAAAATACTCCATGTTGTACCTTCTTAGGAGAAAAATTGACACCAGTTTACCAGTGCTAAAAGGCCTTTGGCCAGTGCATTTGAAGGGGTGGTGAAGTTTTCTAACAGAATTATATATCATTAACAGGCTGACAATTCACATGGATGAAGAACTGCGTGCTTTGGCTTTCAATACTCTCCAGGCATTAATGCTAGATTTTCCAGACTGGCGGGAAGATGTTCTTTCAGGATTTGTTTATTTTATTGTGCGTGAAGTGACTGATGTCCATCCCACACTTCTAGACAATGCAGTAAAGATGTTAGTGCAGTTAATAAATCAATGGAAACAAGCAGCCCAGATGCACAATAAAACCCAAGATTCTCAGGTATTATAATGCTGCATGCATTTTGTACAGTTACCATTTCCTCCTTACTAAATGCCTGTCAAATTAAAATATTTTTATCTTTCAAAAATCTTTTTATGGTAATTTGTTGTCTCCTATGTGATGGGTAGTTATTTTGTAATCTGATTTATTCTTTTTATATACTAGTTATGTACCCTTTTATCTTTTTCATGTTGCTGAATTTGTTTGGTGTTTTAAAAATACATTTTTGAAATGTAAAAGAGTCCCTAGTTAAGTAGGGATAAAACTGCTATACTAAGAAATCACTATCACTTTTTTTTGGTGAAAGTCGCATTCTGAAATCAGAAATATTATTAATAGGGATGATTGACTAGTTTGAAGTAAACAAGTACAGATATTATAATTTTATTTAGTTTGAGACTGGTTAGTGTATTATTTAAAAATACGTTGCATTTCTTTGCACTTGTCTTAGGAGCAAGTAGAATTCCCAAAACTATACAAGGAAAGGCTATAAAACTATACAACTTTTCTCATGATTGTTTTGATTGGTATTGGGAAGAGCTAGGAATCTCATGAGTGTTAATGTCATGAAATTTTGAGAACAAGGAAGTTTGGATTAACATCTAACTCTCTGACCTTTTTAGAATTAATTACTTGTACCATTGCAAAAAATTGAACTAACACACTCCTAGACACTATACACATGCTTATGTGTGAAAATATATATATTATGTACTTTTTAAAATTGATTGTGCTTTTTTATTTTAGCGTGGTGTTTCAAATGGAGCTGCCCACACCCTTCCCCTGGAGAGGACCCTTTATTCTAATGTATTCCATGTGGTGGAAGGCTTTGCATTGGTCATTCTTTGTAGCACAAGGCCTGCAACCAGAAGATTAGCTGTCAGTGTTCTTAGAGAAATAAGGGCCTTGTTTGCACTTTTAGAAATTTCCAAGGTAACAGCAAATGATTCATTTTGTATATCTTTTCACTGAAAAGTTGCATGATGGGACTTCTCTGAGCAGCTTCTAGATTCTCATGCATAATGTTTTTCTTTGCAGGGTGATGATGAGTTGGCAATAGATGTAATGGATAGACTGAGCTCATCTATTCTGGAAAGTTTCATACATCTAACTGGGGCGGATCAGGTAGGCATTTTGTGGGGAGGGTTTTGCTTTTCAAAAAATTTTAGACAGTGATGCAAATAAAAAGTAACTTTATGTTTCTTTGTTTGACTTGAACACACAGACTACTTTACTATACTGCCCTAGTTCAATAGATTTACAAATGTTAGCTGACTGGAGCTCCTCACCTATCAGCCATCAGTTTGATGTGGTCAGTCCATCACATATATGGATATTTGCACATGTGACCCAGGGTCAAGACCCATGGATTATAAGCCTCTCCAGTTTTATGAAACAAGAACATCTTCCAAAACACTGCCCCACAGCTGTTAGCTATGCTTGGATGTTCGCTTACACAAGACTCCAACTGTTGTCTCCACAAGTTGACATAAAGTAAGTTCCTTTAGTTAACTAAATATAATATAATATATTGAATATATTCTTTTTAAATTAATTGAAATTACAATGCAGTATTGCTATTGTTTCCTGCTGTTTAGCCCCACTTCATCATTTTACCTAGCGTAACAGAAAATTAAAATTACTCAATTTGGAATGGAAATTTGATGCTATAAAGATTAAAATATGCTTTCTGATTATATTGTATTTTAGCAGTAATATATTTTTCCAGTTACGTTTGCTATATAATACAATGAATAATGTAATCAGACTATCCTATGTTAAAGCTTTAAAGATTTTTGCCTTTTAGTTAGACCATGTATGCAGTTTAGAAATAGAATCAGTGAAGAATAAAATGAAGTTAGTTAGTTACATTTTCTAACTTGGTAAATATTCATCTACCTTTTTTTCTTTCATAGCAGCCCTATAAATGCCAAGAAAGTAAATACTACTACAAGCAGTGACTCCTATATTGGGCTCTGGAGAAACTACCTGATTCTTTGCTGCAGTGCAGCAAGTTCTACAACCTCTTCCACATCTGCAGGTTCTGTGAGATGTTCCCCTCCTGAGACGCTGGCGTCGACTCCTGACAGTGGTTATAGCATTGATTCTAAAGTAGGTTCCTCCGGGAATTTTGCATGTTTCTAAGTAATTCAAAAAAGTAGAACTGAATAGAACTTTTAAGATGTTCCTCATTTCTCTGATGCTTGTGGTATTTGCCTGGGGAAAAAAGTTTTTATGTTACTATTATCTCTATATTTAGAATGTTTGTAATGTTAGTGATTACAACTAGAATTACACAATTCCAAGCTAAGAGAAAGGTGATTCCTTTCTCATCTGGTTCCAGTAGTGCAGTCAATCACTATTTCAGGACTTTTGATCTTTGCATTTTTTTCCTAATTGCAGACACCAGTTATTTCATCCTTGTTTCATATCAAATGCAGATTTTTCTGCACCTAGCAGTTCTGGAACTTAAAGAAAAAAGGACAAGGAAGGCAGTTTGTGGGGAGTCAGCATAGTCTGATATTGTTTTCTTTCCTAGGTGTGAGGAGGGGACCCACCCTCAAAAATTTAATTATCTTTGAGACTGGCATGTTTAGCTTTATTGGCCTCTGAGGGAATACACAGTGCCAGAACACCAGTGCATACTTTCCATTCTGGGTCTAGATTCTTTTTGTCGTTACAAAGGCAGTGTTACAACTTGTTTTCCTGCCAGCTGAATAAACTGATCATAGTTCTGGTTAGGAGCCTAAAATAGAAAAGCATCCTAACTCAGCATCTGTCTCATCAACATTTCTGAATAAGGTCTTTCCAGTGTCCTCTGTCTTCATACCTGATGACTAAAAGATGTCCCTGGACTTGCTGTGCAGAATGTGATGTGATGTAGGAGAAAGAGAAGTCTCACAAATGTGTGGACATTCCACAATACCTGTTAATGGGAGACATTCTCTTTGGTTAAGCTGTCTTTGCAAATATCTGCTTCTCTGTAACTAACATCAGAGCTTCATAGATACAAAGTTCCTTTCTAGGACTTTGAGCATTTTATATGCAGCCCACATTGAGGCCATTAGTTATCTCTATAACAAATGATACAGCAACTTACCAACTCCTGCTGGTGATATCTGATTCTGAGTGGAAGTTTTGTAGAGAAATTCATGTATAGTTTTCCTTCGGGCAGCAGAGAGGATTATTACATTTCTGAAGGTAAACTTGTGCCTCATACATCCCTCTAACAAGGCCTTGATGCCACTGTAGCTGCTGCTTCTATATGTGCTAAAAAATACCCAGAAGAGATCTTACAACCTAAAAACCCTTATGCCACACTAAGATCCAAGGGATTTGTAATCCCAAGACAAAAAGGAAACCCTCGAAGCCTCGGTTACAAAAGAGGCAGTCTTATTATTTTATGTAGGCATGAAGTATCTAGAAGGTGTCAAATTCTTCAAAAGGAAGGCATCTGGTTCTAGCACAGCATTTGTTCAGGAACCATAATCATTATCAAGAAAGCAGGTTTGACATGATTAGGAGTGGTGCACAAATGTTCTTGGATCTTTGCTTAAATATATTATTCATACACCAGCACTGTAGACAGAATATTAGGTTAATGGGCCTACCTTATGAGCTGTTAGGTATAGGTTCTGTGTTCCATTTTCCTATCAATACAGTCTTTTTGCTAGCAGAGCACCAGCCAGAAGGATACAGAACATAGAAATATTAATTGATAGTGCCCACAGTCTCCAAACAACATTTGTCATTGTTTACACAGTGTTTATCATTGAGATTTCCACCTTTTTTTAATCAAAAGTAACTGACTTTTATTTAAAGTGGATCATTCACCTACCTATATTTTGTCCAAACCTCATTCAAGTAAAGGCAATCCCCTAGAATTGTTAGGGCAAATATAGGTCATTCCTTGCCAGTACTTCCTTTGCTAACAGTGACATGCATATGTTCTATATAGAAAACTAAAAACAAGAAAAAAGATTGTTGGAGATTTATTTATATAGATGGACAATACATATGTAAAGAGGTCCTTTAAAAGGGCACAGAGCAAACTATCCCAATGTCGCATAAGAATAGGAAGTAAAACAGGAGGCTGGCTTGGCTAGATAGCATCGTCTTCAATGAAATGAAACTCGGAAAGGAATCCTAGAAAAAGTGGAAGCTTGGTCACAGAACTAGGGAAAAGTATTAGAGTATCACACAGGCATGTGAGAAGAAAATTAGTAAAGCAGAGGCATAATTTGAGAGCAACTGGCAAGGGAAATAAAAAGCAATAAAAAGGGATTTTACAAATATCAAGAGTAGGAATCTTAGGTCCCTTGTGGAATGCAGAAGCCATCCTAGTTATGGATGATGCAGAGAAGGTTGAAGTATTTAATGCCTTTTTTACTTCAGTCTTCACAAATAGGGATAGCTACCAGATGACAAGTGCCAATAGGCAGCCAAGATAGAGGAGGAGTCAAACAGCCTAAAGTAATAGAACAACAGGTTAGAGATTACTTAGAGACACTAGATACTTTCAAGTTGGCAAGGCCAGATGGGATGAGCGTCAGGGTCCTGAAGTAATTTCAGAGCAATTTCTTTGACAGTTCTTGGACGGTTGGGTGAGGTGCCGTCTGATTGGAAAAGGGCAACTCTACTGCTCATTTTAAGGAAGGGAAGAAGGAGGATCTGGTGAATTACAGACCAGTCAGGCTGGCCTCAGTACCTGGAAAGATTATGAAGCAGGTCCTCATGGAATCTGTTGTGTGGCACCTAGAGGAGAACCAGGGGATTAGGAAGACCCAGCATCGACTCGCCAACGGCAGCTCATCTCTGACCAACCTGATTTCCTTCTATGATGAGGTGCCAGGCTCTGTGGATGGGCAGGGAGAGCAGTGGATATGGTATACCTTGACTTTACCAAGGCTTTTGATACAGTCTCCCACAACTTTCTCATTAACAGGCTAAGGAGATACAGACTAGATGAAAGTATTGTAAGGTGGAGACATAACTGGTTGGCTCATCATTATCAACAAGTTGTCATCAGTAGCCTGATATCTAATTGGGAGGGGATATCAGGTGGGGTTGTCCAGGGGTCTGTTCTAGGGTCAGGTATTCAACATCTTAATTAAAAATGTGGACAATGGTATTTGAGTGTATGCTTAGCAAATTTGCAGATAACAGAGAATTGGATGGAGTTGCAAACACTCTGGAGGGCCAGGGCTAGAATCCAGAATGACCTAGACAGACTGGAAACATGGCTGATAATCAGATGAGATTCAACAAGGACAAGTACAAAGTCCTGCAGTTGGGATGGAATAATTACTTGTACAGATACAGACTGGGGGAATGATTGGCTAGGCTGCAGTACTGCAGAGAAGGATGTGGGGGGTTCTAATGTACTATAAGGTAAATATGAGCCAACAGCATGCTCATTTCTAAGTGACAGGAGTGTCACTTAGAAGTTAAGGGAAGAGTAGAAGCTGTGAATCTATCAACAATTTACAGCTAGAAATGAGATGATACAAAGGAAGAGGAGAAAAATACTAATGTGTGAAAATATATTACATAAAGGCTGATGTAATGACCTCAGAAGATAAATTTCCTTTCTATTAGCACTATTTCAAGTAAATGTTGGAAATATTGTAATATATATAAAATAAATAAAATAATGCTATTGATGGAATATTATGTAACTACTTACTGGAAAACCTTTGTTTTGTTTCTTTTTAAAGATTATTGGCATTCCGTCCCCTTCATCCTTGTTTAAGCACATAGTTCCAATGATGCGCTCTGAGAGCATGGAAATTACCGAATCCCTTGTGCTGGGACTTGGCAGGACCAACCCAGGAGCTTTTAGGTAAATATTATGATAGAATCGTTTTATTTCTAATTGATTATGAAGTAAATCATCAGAAATCAGATCCTGGACTAAAATTAAAAACACACACTTAAAATAATATCTAACAGGATTGAAATAAGTGATTCAGGTTGCTTACAACACATTTACATGTGTAGTATGCAAATATGCATATAATGCATTTACAGTGGGGTAAACTGGCATTGAGAACCCCTGTTCTAGAGAATAAAGTTGTTATGCTGTGGCCCGCAAACCGCAGCCCAGGAGTCGCAGCTGACTGCGGCTGGAATTGCCAGCCGGAGGACAGGTAAGAATACCCCACCCCCCACAGGCAGGGGGTGAGCCAAACCCTGCACTGTTGCGGGCCCTGCAAAAGGAGCCATGGCCTCTCTGCCTGGCTCTGAGGGGGCTGCAGTTTGCTTGTCCACGGCCACTTCAGGTCCAGCAGCCGACCGTGCTGCAGACCAGCAGCTGACCCACCACAGCCTATCTCGGGGCTGCGGCCTGGGGATTGAGTACCCATGCTCTAGAAAAAATAGTGGAGAAAAAATACAGTAGTATAAATTATTCCAGTCCAGGGTAATTAATGTATAGACTATATTTGAAGCCTAAGACATGCTAGTAGTTCTTAGTATGCTGTAGTTTTCAGGTGGCATATTTATAGATGGAGCAAAAATCATTTAAGAAGAAAAGACCTAATGAAAAAGTTCAAATGGATAATTGTATCAAAGTGCCACTAAGTGCACCAAAATAGTGAGCAGTTGACTTAGTTTACATTGATAGTTGTGTGCATATAAAAGCACAGTGATTTACGATTTTTTTTTTCTTTTAACTCTCAATATTTTAAATGTAATTTTGCTTAGTCTTGTATGGTATGGTAATCTCTCTAATACTAAAGGCAGAAAATACTGACAGAAGATCATTTCATTAAGATGATTTTGAACTCCAGATCCTTGATAGCCTATCTTTAATAGATTTCACAGTCCAGACCAGTGGTTTTCAACCAGGGTGCCTCAACACCACGGAGTGCTTTGAGATCCTTTCAAGGGTGTCACTGGGTGCCATACAGTGTTGGCACTATTAGGTGTGCAAACATAATTTAAGTAAACCCAGAGATTTCAAACAGGGACCCACAATGATAAAAACATTATGACCTGTTGTGGTCTTTTTGAGTTCTTTGCAGCAGAAAAAATGCTCTATTTTTCTCATTCAAAAATGAGTGAAAATGTAAGAGCTGGAATTTTCTGAGGGGTGCCTTGAGTCTAAAAATGTTGAAAACCACTGGTTCTAGACCCAAAATTATTCTTGATCACCAGTGAGAACTGTCAGATTTTGCCGCAGATGTTAGGCTTCATGGCCTCTTGCACTTCATAGTAGTATTGTATCTTTTATGGTTCAGGCAACTGAGAGAAGCAAGGTTTGTGAGGTGTGGGAACATTTTTTCTTGGGCCAACTTGTAGTTGGGTGAGAGAGGAGACAAACTTTTAAGGCTTCTGGAAACCATGGACTCAGACATTGGTTTTGTGGTTTGTTAACTTCTCTCTCACCTCTCTCTCTGTCTCTCACCCCATTCTCATTAAAAAAAACTAGGGGACTGTGGCGTCGACACTTACACAGTCAAATGGGTCACTAACTGGCTGGAGGGCCGCACGCAGAGAGTGGTGGTGGATGGGTCATTTTCGACCTGGAGGGATGTGGGCAGTGGGGTTCCGCAGGGCTTGGTGCTCGGACCCGCACTGTTCAACATCTTCGTCAGTGACTTGGACGAGGGGGTAAAAAGCACCCTGTTCAAATTTGCAGATGATACTAAGATGTCGGGGGATGTGGGCACGCTAGAAGGGAGGAACAGGCTGCAATCGGACCTAGACAGGTTACAGGGGTTGGTGGATGAGAACAGGGTGGGTTTTAACACGGACAAGTGCAAGGTACTGCACCTGGGTGGGGGAAGAACCAGCAGCATACCTACAGGCTGGGGAACTCCCTTCTTGTCAGTGCAGAGGCAGAAAAGGATCTTGGAGTCATTATTGATGCCAAAATGAATATGGGCAGTGTGGGGACACGGTCAGGAAGGCCAATCGCACCTTGTCATGCATCCACAGATGCATCTCAAGCAGGTCCAAGGAGGTGATCCTCCCCCTCTATGCGACACTGGTCAGGCTGCAGTTAGAGTACTGTGTCCAGTTCTGGGCACCGCACTTCAGGAGGGTTGTGGACAACATGGAGAGGGTCCAGAGGAGGGCCACTTGCATGATCAGGGGGCAGCAGGGCAGGCCCTACGAGGAGAGGCTGAGGGACCTGAACCTGTTCAGCCTCTGCAAGAGAAGGCTGAGTGGGGATCTAGTGGCCATTTACAACCTAGTCAGAGGAGACCAGCAGGCATTGGGGGAGTCCCTGTTCCCCCAGCACTCCCAGGAGTGACAAGAAATAACGGTCACAAACTGGCAGAGGGTAGGTTTTAAACTAGATCTCAGGAGGTGCTACTTCACTGTCAGGGTGGCTAGGATCTGGAACCAACTTCCAAGGGAAGTGGTGCTGGCTTCTACCCTGGGGGGTCTTTAAGAGGAGGCTGGATGAACACCTTGCTGGGGTCGTTTGACCCCAGTGATCTTTCCTGCCAGGGCAGGGGGTCGGACTTGATGATCTGCTCAGGTCCCTTCCTACTCTACAAACTATGAACTATGAAACACTCCCTCTGCTAACTTATTTTGACTCCACACCTATACTTTCCTTTCAAAGGGACAAATTTATAACCATAATTAGATTAAATTAAAGCAGTTATATTAATTTGTACTTGGCTTAGACCAGGGGCAGGCAATTATTTTGAGCGGAGGGCCACTTACTAAGTTTTGGCAAACCATTGAGGGCCTCATGACAGGCTGCCAGGGGCAGATAAATATTACATTTCTAAATTTTTTAGGGGCCCCACGGGCCGGATAGAATGGCCTGCTAGGCCGCATCTGGCCCACAGGCTGCGTTTTGCCCACTCCTGGCTTAGACAGTGAGCGCTTCTTTCCTACATGTGATGGCTCCTGAAAGCTTAACTCCTTTTGTTTTTTTCCTTTGTACTATCCAAGTTCAATAAAAGAGATTTTCTTGCATTACAGATCCTACTTTTCCACTGTATTTAGGTTACCTCTTTAACCAAACATCATATATATCTGTTCCAGGATTGCCTAAGAATATCTTTTTCACATAGGTGCTGTATACTTACAGCTCACTTGATGTATTCCCTGTCACATGTTTATTTATTCTTTACATTTAAATAATAGTAAAACCCATGCATACAAAAAGCTCTGGGAAGCTTAATTAGATTTACATTTGTAAATTATAAGTAGCCAGCAAAAGAAAAAAAAATATTTTCCAATGCTAATTACTCAACAAGTATCAGAGCAGGAAAATAGTTTTTTTCCAAAATCATGATCAACTACATAGCCTTTGGTTGCACGGAACAAAAAATTTTTTTTTTCAAAAGACCCCTACATTGTGCTGATGACACATGCTTCAGGATTAGGCTTAGGAGTTTATAGTTGCAATGCATTGCAGTACAGTGAAGTTTGTACTAATATCCATTTGACCCAATGGACAGTATAGTTTCATAGTTTGCATCCAGCTCATCTAGATTAGCGCAGAATTAATGTCATCTTGTGTCAGCTTTGCACGTAAATATTTTGTCTGGCTTGCAAGGCATTTCTTCCTCAATAGAAAGCCACTTTTCTTCAAATTTGAGTGGGTATGCAACTGCTATTTATTGCATCTAGCCCCAGTGGAAAAAGTCTATTCAGGGTTTCTATTCCAGGAAGCCAATACTTTTTAGAATTCATTTGTCCATCACCACATCACACTTGCAACTCAGCATCTTCTGGAAACATCAGTCATTATAGAACAGCCTGCATGGGGAGTTGGCTGTTGGCTCCAAACAGTGCTTTTCGGAAAGGTCTGAGCTAATGTTCGTGGTGACAAGCCTTTGTCACCATGTTGTGGCTGGTCTTAAGGCAATGTTTACGAATAGATGATTCACCACCATATATAAAAAGAACTTTGTCATGTGTCCTTCCTCTCCTCCCCCCCATGAAGTCAGATTTCAGCATAAGGTGTTTTTTTTTAATGTCCATGTTCAATAGATGACAAGATGTGATAATAGTTGGTAAATTCCTTTTTAATAATTTACTCCAAGAACGGTTAGGATGATAGTTTGTACATAACGTTTAGAAAGTCTGTATCTGTCTCCTAAATGTTCATTTGTTTCACTAAATAGTGAAAGTAAAGTTGAGTGAGTGTATCTGTCTGTGAAATATAATGTTGATTTCTGTGAAGCAGTTCATGCATTAATTCAGTGATTGGTTTATTTTCTTTCAGGGAACTAATAGAAGAATTACATCCTATAATTAAGGAAGCACTTGAAAGAAGGCCAGAGGTAATTAGATATATTTAATTGTGTTATGTCTTCCTTTAATGTTGGTGGCTAATAAAACAGCAATTTCTTTTACATATTTTAAATAGATTATTGTGGCTGCACAGTAGGGGGCGCTAGTACACAGAACCACCCACCTTACTGTGCCAGGCCCAAAGCCTTGCTTCGGAAGTCTCCCTCAGGGAGCCTACAGCTGGCTGTCCCACTTTCTGGAGACTACCTGCAAGCTTGGGGTAATGCTGCCACCACCTGGGCACTGATCTCTGGCAGGGCTCTGTGCAGCCAGGGGCACATGGACACAGTGAACCTTGGGGGTGCTTTGCCCCCTGTAATATTTCTGGGTGCTTCTTTCAATCCAAAAGCATTGCAAGATAGCATCAGGTAGAATTGAGGGAAAATAAAAAGACAAACTTCACTGGCCAAGCAGGGGGTGGAAGGCCTCGCCCCTCAGCAGCACAACAACAAGGTTGTGTAACCTGACCACTTTATTGAGCAAGGGGAAGGGCAGTAGAAGGAGGAAGTCAGAATACACTTTGAGCAAACAAAAGCAACTTGAGTCTTTACAGAATTTTGGATATGGTGACCCTTTTAAGATGCAACTGGCCTATATGTAATTCCTAACTCCTGGCAGGCTTCTGGGTTTTTACTTACAGAAATTGCCAGGCAGCTGCATGAGGTCCTTGCTTGCAGTTTTCAAAAAGCCCACTGGAAGGAAGAGTGAGCTCCCCCCCTCCTTCCCCCTGGCCAGGTCACCTGATTGAGCAGCCTGAACCAAGAAGAAAGCAAGGGGAGAGAGGAATCACCTGGGCTGGCCCAAGTGAGGGGCAGAGATGCAGGGAGGGGATTTCTTCACAAATATCACAACTTTTTATTACCGTAGAGGTAACAGGCAGATGTAAAATAAAAAATACCCCCCCCAAAAAACAATCAAACAAACAAAACCCCCAAACCTTAGAGAACTGTGTATTTTGAGAAACTTGCCATAGAGATTAATGTTAACAGTACCAAGTTATTTAAATTATAAACTTTTTCTGTATTTTTATGTCACAGTACTCAGTCCAAATCCAGTCTATCTACTACTTCTCTGTGTGTTGCATGTGTGACATTCAGTCAGAATACTATATGTACTATGCTGCAATAGTCAGACATTTAGTTGGACAAATAAATATTTTTGCAATATGAAAATAATTGGACAAAACAGCAACTTAATGGATCCATCCAGTCCTGAAAAAAGGGCTTCTCTGAGGGTAGCATATTAGTAGGAAATATTGTGCTTGTTGAAGTATGAGCTATTAACCTGTAGTGGGAATGACTTTCAGGATATTCACAAGGAATGGGTTTTTTTTGTTTGTTTGGGAGTTTTTTTCAAATTAAATTTTTTTGTGTTCCAAGCCAGATCAGCCAAATCAATTCCAAATCTGTGGGTCATTCAAAAACCATATGTGGCCCTACTACCAGCAGTCATCGTCCACCCCCACCTGGGGTTTCAGATGTTTCCAAATCATTTGGCAGGCATCCTACATGAAAGCCTGAGCCCGGAGGCTTGGGGTTCAGATGCCCCCGAGTTTCACTCACCCTCAGCCATATGGCCACAGGAACAAACTAGGAAGGAGTCTCCCATTTCCATGAACTGGCACCAGCTCCCAGCCACCTTCCACCCACCTGGCGTGATAAGCAGCCACCTCTAGGTATGTAAAGCGGGTGGAAGGCAGCCAGGATCTGGAGCCAGAGCCTGGGACGCTGGGGCAGGAGCCACCTGGCTGAAGCTGCCCCCCACATACTTGGAGCAGTGCAGCAGGAGGAGAAGCTGCCACAAGATGAGGGGAGTGGAACAGTCTCATTAGTCCAGGCCCCAGCCGGTATGTGCAGCTTCCAGTAGGAAGCTGCAGCTGCCTGGGTGCTGCTCTGCTCCCCTTGTCTCCAGCAGCAGTTCCTCTTCCCACTCCTGCCCTTGCTGTGCCTCTCCAGGTAGCGGGGCAGGAAGCTTCAGCTTGGCGGCTCCCACTGGAGGTGAAGGAGCTGAACAGCACCTGGCTGGCTGTAGTAGCTGCACTGGAAACAGCCCTACCAGAAGCTGTGCGCTGGCTGGCCAGGGTCAAGCTGGCAGGTGTGGGCTGTCCTGGGGGAGGGGGCTTGGCCCCACGTGGAGCGCTGTGGGGGAGCCACAGACCACACCACTGGAGCAAGTTCTGATGCATGCACCCCCTGACTTCTCCTCTCGCCTTCCCCCCTCTTCCCCTCCCCTCCCCACATACACATGCCTCCCACCCACCCCACAGGGCAGGGTGCACGGGGATCAGATTGTGGCGTGGCCCGGGCCCAAGCTGTCATCACCCCACAACCCAGCCCATGATCTTAGCCTCATCCTCCTGTCCTGCTCCTAAATACTGCTTCCCATCTGCCCAGAGCCCCATAGGGAGTTTTTGTGAGTTGCTGGGGGTGGGGACATGCTGCTGACCTGGCCCATGACAGCTCATTAAAATTCCCTATGTGGCTCTCAAGCTCAAATAATTGGCCACCTCTGATTTAGAAGCTTCAGATCAGGAGTCTGTTGTGATAGGTGCTGTACAAATGCAGGACTGATCATTACCCTGCATGATGATTTCCTTGGTTTTTTATTTGGCATCTTCTAATCACAGCTGATAGGAAGGTCCTATAGACATTTTGAAGCTTGTAGAGCATTGTAGAGTACTTTTTCAAAGCCCTGCATAGCCATACTGATGTCTGTACTTCATAATGACAGGTAATGACATGCCACATGTAACATGTGTGTGTGTCAGAATTTAACTAAAAAAACTTTATTTTTCTGTTGATGTTCATATACAACTTGGTAGTTGTAGTGGAATTGGCATAGCAATGGAATAATTAGACTCTCATGCTTAAAGTGTAAAATTATTGATAGTCTCAACTGTTAAATAGTAAGAGTATTTTTTCACTCCATATAATAATAAGAGAATATTTTTTTTCCTTCTCTTCCTTATAATATATTTAATGTGTGTAAGGTACACAGGAAAAAAAAGCCACTCCTAAAAAAGAGTTTAAACTGACATCTGGATTCAACTATCTTTATGCATGTTGAATTGTTTAGGTACTTCTCAGTATGAGTAAGGAGGCAAAACCTGGCTCTAGAAGATTATATTTTTTTAAGATCCAGATTTTGTTAATGTAATTACACTAACTAGTTCTTTCCTCCAGAAGTAGTCCTACCAATTTCATTGCAAGTAAACGGGGAAAAATCTGCCCTAAAATAAATTATTTTAATTGGGGGAAAAGCAGTTTCCACCTGGCTACTTTGCTTTGGTCATTTTCTGCTTGATTCAAGCCCTGCAGAAATTGATGGTTTCCACAAGCTTCAGGTTTTTGAGGCTGCCATCTTGGAGAAGAGAAGAGACCTGAGTGTTTGTATATGTGTATTCTCATGCATTTTATTTCTGTTTTTACCCTTTGCTTTTGTATTTTACAGCATACTATTTTAGAAATCTTTTAACAGTTTACAGGTTCGTTTTACAATTTATAAAGCAAATGGTTGTTTGTAGTACCCATAGTACGTAATATGGCTCCATTGGCTAAAGTGGAAATCTCTTGCATCATAGTTGAAAGAAACAAATAATGTTCCAATTAGGAAGCAGCAGCTTAACATAACCATTCCAAGCTAATATGCCCCCCAGAGGGCCCTCAGAGGAATCTGAGGTGTTGAGCTAGGAATGAATGTTCCCATTTTTCATACCTTTGCAATTGCATAATAAATCTAGCTTCAAAAAATAAGTCAGGGGGAGGTGGGAGAAGAAGAAAGTCTGTCTCACTACTGAAAACTAGAGTGGTAACAAAATGAGTGCAGTCAAGACCCCATGTTTCTTTTTTTTTTAACTATTTATTAATGAATAAAACCCTTAAAAATGAGATTTTACATTAAAAAACATATCAATCTTCCAAAATATACACCATGAGCATGCGTTTCAGTAATTGTATGCCCCACTGTGTTTCATTCGGCTGTTTCATGTAACTTCGCATTATCCCCTTTGAACAGAATATGAAACGACGCAGGCGTCGAGACATTTTACGAGTACAACTAGTACGAATATTTGAACTGTTGGCGGATGCTGGTGTCATTAGTCACAGGTAGGTGTAGAGTTGATGAGAAGACAGTTTTTCTTGGAAAAATATGGGAATTAATAGCATTTATTTCTTTATAAAATTGCATATTTTACTTGGAGTACTATGTCCAGTTTGGGCTCACACTTCAAGAAGGATGTGGAGAGTTTGGAAAGAGTCCAGTGCAGAGTAAAAAAAAAGAAATGATTAGGGGGCTGGAATGCAAGACTTGGGAGGAAAGATTGAGAGAATCAGGAGAAGCGAAGATTGAGGGGAACATTTGATAACAGTTTTCAAAATACCTTTGAAAGGTAATTACAGAGAGGATAAAGGGTATATGACTAGAAGCAATGACTTCAAGCTGCAGCAGAAGAAATTTAGGTTGGCAATTTGGGAAGAACTTTCTGACTAGGATGGTGATCAAGTATTGGATCCAACTACTTAGTGACATTTTGGAATCTCCATCCCTGGAAATTTTCAAGATCCATTAGACAGATACTTGGCTGGGATTGTTTAGTTAGGGATAATCCTGCCTTGAACAGGGACTAGATGACCCTGTGATGTCTCTTGCCAAAACTACTTTCCTATGATCTTTCTTGTACAATTAAACAATCCCTTGAGCATCACTCTTTTATGTTGTTTCCTGTTAAACCTGTTTTTCACTTCTTGTTAAAATGAAACATAGATTGTTCCTTTACAATAGTGATTAATCTTTTTCCTCAAGGTTTCTTTAAAGTTTAAATAAAACAAGCAAGCAAGTTTGTAAACATTGGTGTAAAGATGCATTAGCTATGATGATCAGTAATTATAGGCTTGTATCTAATAAGTTACTATAACTGAGGGAAGTCAAAATCACTTGGCCTGCAGAGCCACATGAATGGCATGGAGCCAGTTCATAGACTGGATTGGACCCATGAGCCCACCCCCCAGCTTCAGTATCCATGCTGGGCAGTTGACAATCCATGTTCTTTGTAGCACTCCGTCTCTCCCTCCACTGATCTGGGACCCACAATGTGTGCAGCACCCATTCCGCTCATCCAATACTGCACTGCATGTAGTGCCTGCCCTTGCTTGTCTGGGATCTGCGTTGCATGCAGAGCCTGTGGATACCACATGCATCATGGTTTGTGGATTGGCTGGAGCAGGCACTCTGTGCATCCTGGATTGGCCAGGGGAGATGCTGCAGACAGTGAGGATCCTGGACTGACTAGAATGGATACTACCTGTGGTGCAGTCCTGGACCAGTTTGGGTGCTTGCCATGTGTTGCACAGTTCCTAGAGCTGGCACAGTGCACAAAGCGCAACTTGGGCCTAAAGCACAGGGCTGGTCCAGAATGTACTGGATAAGGAAATAGTAACATGAAAAGAAAGGTACCTTGAACAAATATTTCCAGTACTTGTGTTCAGAAAAATGGCTTTAAAATTTTGTTGAATTTTTTTACGTATTGGAAACTTGCTTTTAAAATATACTGTATCTTTACCTAACTTAATAATTGGAATATTTTGTTTTTATTTGAAGTGCAAGTGGTGGCCTTGATAATGAAACACATTCCCTCAACAACACTCTATTGGAGTATGTTGACCTAACTAGACAACTCCTAGAAGCAGAAAATGAAAAGGACTCTGATACATTGAAAGATATCCGATGCCATTTTAGTGCCTTAGTGGCGAATATCATTCAGAATGTTCCAGGTATGCATTGTGCTCCTAATGAGTTTTGAGGACTCCTTTTAATACACCAGAAATACAAAATGTTCTTCCTGTTTGTCACCAGAAATGCTTTTTTTCCCCTAGAGATATAGAAAGGCTTATATAAAATGAGTTTACTTTGTTAAAATTGTATTTTAAACTTAAGATATAAACTTCTCAGGAGCTATTACTGATGTTTTAAATAATAACATTTAAATTTTTATTACCAAAAGCTCAAATTTGAGCACATTTCTTAGGTTAATAAATGCTAAATTATTGAATATTCTAGTGTATTTTTTAATATACCAGAGACATGCAGGTAAGCTACCTCTTAAACTTGTTTTCAATGAAGCTGTTATGAATTATCAAAACAATTTGTCTTTTTAATAGCTGATGAACTTGTAATTCAAGTCCATTTTTGTCTTAATATATTTAATTAAAAAACGTAGGCAAATGGATCAGTCTCTCTCTCTCTCTCTCTCTCTCTCTCTCTCTCTTTTTATATATATACAGTGCACCAGAGAAGAAGTGTCTTTCCTCAGCAGAGCCTACGTCACAGTCTCTTTATGTTGTTCAGTCACTGGGCAGGTCCTTTTAGCATCATGTTTACTCCCCTGGATAGATACAGTGATAGGAACATGCAAATAAACAGACACCAGTACTGTGCATTAAAGGTATTTTAATACTTGCTGGATTTTGGAAATATATCTCTGTCTTGTATTTATTTACTTCATTAAATATTTTTGCCAGTTTACAATTCCATGCCATTAGTCCAAGGTGGCAGAATTTTATTTGTCCAAACTGAGGTTTAGAGGATAACCCAATAGCCTGCTGCTTTTCCATTATTACAATAATTTTGTTTATTTCTACGGGCCTTGTTACACATTGCACTGAGCTACTCAAATGTTGATCAGTGTTAGTGCCAGTTTGAGTTTAGAGCAGTCATCAGCAGGGATCCTGGATTTCTCACAAATTCTCTGATAAAAAAATATCAAATTTTCTGATTTCACTCCCCCATCTGCATTTTCTGCAATTAAAATGAAATGCCACATTTTGTGTGTGTGTGTGTATCAGTTGAGCACAATGTTTTGTGGGCCTGGCTGCAGCTGGTCTGGCCAGGCTGTAGTCCCACACATCGCTGTGGGCACAGAAATCTAGGGGGAGCATGCATCTCCCCCCAACGCATCGCCTGTGCCCCCCTGCCACCCTGAAGTATTGCCTGTGGGCCCCCAACCCATAGATTTACCTGTGGGAGCTGTTCTCCACTGCTGCCTGGCTGCCACGTGCAGTTACTTCCAGCCTGCAAGAAAACTGATTACTGTGAATCATGGAGAAAATCCATGATTTTCTCCTTTAAAGGAGGAAATCTACGTTTTTCTGCAGCAAATGGAAAACCCAGATCCCTGGTCATCACACCTTAAGGCTAAAAACCTTCTCTGACTGTTCCCTACCTGCACACCTGTGACTTCCCACTAGAGGGCTGGTGAGCAGGGGCCAGACTAGAAGCTATAGCTGTGAGTTGCCACTAGAGGACTGGTGAGCCAAGGCAGACTTCTATCCCTGCTTTGGGGTGGAGGGTGAGGTGGGTTGGTGGGCCAGGAACATGAAGCTGGAAGGCAGAGAGTTAATGGGATGAGGGTGGGTAATTAAATGGGAGGTGGAAAGGAAATGGGGCTGGGGAAAGGTGGTGAAATAAAGGTAGTCAGTCACTGATAGATAAAATAAAAGTTAAAAAAAAATTAAAAAGAAAGAGGAAGTAAATTAAAGAAGGTCTTATGTTTTAACACATTGGGATTTGAAATTGGGGTGTGAAAGGTGCTGGTCATACTTCCCAGGGTGGCTGAGAGGTAGGAGTGGTGAGGGAAGGTGCTCTTGAAGGAGCTACTGCCCCAGACCCAGGAAAGGAGCCCCAGCTAATGGGGACCTGATCTGACCCCCTACTTTGTTTCCCTCCCCGCACCCTTCCTAGACCCCACTCCTGGTCCCCTCCTTGCTCTGTAACTTGGTTAGCTGGCAAGTTCTCTGCAGGCTGTTTGGATGGGGTTGCACCCCGGGGAGTGGCAAGGGGAGTTGCCTTGGTGCCAGAACTGGCTTTTGGGCAGTAGAGCTCAGGGAGTGGAAACTTTGTTCACACAGAACAGGAGGAGAGGGGGCACTGCATCCTGGGATGCTGGAGGACTACAATTTGGGTGGCTCATCTGTGGGGAGTGGCCACCCATTAATGGAACATCAGCTGGGTAGCACGGATCAGAGATACACCACTCCAGAGCAGGTTTAACTTTAAGCTGCCTTAAGTGTGCTTAAAACTAGTTTCAGGTTTAAATGTGTGATCAATCCAGGGGTTAAGAGCTCCAGGAGCTGCTAAAATTAATGTGTAACAACATTCTATGATACATACAGGTTTATACTAGCTTTTCATGCCCACAGCTGCCAGTCTCTCAAGGAGATAGAATTTCATTATTGTTTCAGTCACTTCATCTGTGCAGTAATGTATTACCAGCCCAAGTAGTGTGCTAGCTCTCAGAGCTTTTCAAGGGAGAGAAATCCTCCTGCCTAGGGATTTAGATGTGTAAGACTGGGTCTGCCTTTTATTGTATAAGATATTAAACAAAGTTCCTCTTAGTTGTGCTGTCTGTGCAGATGTTAGAGTTGGATGTAGCTGCACCTTGCTTATTCTGGTTATTAAAAAGTGATATTGTTTCAATTACTTTCTGAAGGCTATGTCTGCTGTACTGTGTTGTGGCCCTGTTGCAGATAACGTAGGACTCTCATCAGATGGCTATTTATACAAATGGCTGGATAATATTTTGGACTCACAGGATAAAAAGGTAATGTGGACAGTTGAATTGGCACAGATACTCTACACCAGACTGACTCTGACTGATTTGCAGTGGGTGCCCACTATGTGCTATGTGCATTCTGAGAACTAGAGGAAGATGGCCTTGGCCTCCAAGTAGCTCACACTGAGCAGGCAGACAGAAGTTAAGGGAAAGGGAATAGGAGTAACAGCAGGAAAATTGTATACAATATGTAAACAAATCAAATTGATTCATTGCATCATGAACAGCAGCACAGCAATAGTGGGTCTTTCAGAGACTTAAACAGGGCCAGTCTCCTAAGGTCCCTGGTAAACATTCATTTAATGTGGGAATGGGATCTGATCCCAATCCCAACAACAGTATGTCCTGCCATGTCACATGCACAGCAGGTAGTGCGATTGTTAGGGTTGGGGATCAGATCCCATCACGCTGTTGCTACTTGCCAGTGCAGGGGGAGACGGGGATCATACTCCTAACTTCCCCCTGCACCAACAAGTTGAAAGAGGAGTGCCTGCAGTTTAGCAGGTCTAGCTGATAGTCATCTCTGGCCCCTAGAACCACACCAGGGATTCAAACTGGCTCCAGTGAGGTTTGGGCTACAGCTCACAATCAGCTGATTGTTGGCTTAAGCCCACACTGCACCAGGGCAGGTTTGGATCCTCGGCTTGGTGAGCTGACAATTAGCTGAATATTGGCCCCAGCTGGGACAGCTCCAGGTCCAATTCAAGACCAGGTCAGGCTGACAATCAGCTGGCTGTCAAAACCCTGCACCTGATGGCTCTGGGGCTTCCCTTGCTTAGAGCCTCTGATCTCTGGCAGCCCAGTCAGAGCTGCTGGACATGTGGTTTAAATGGTGGGGAAGTCTGGAGAAGCTTCCTCAGCCTACTCTTTAGAGCTCCCTGGGTGCTGGGAGCCAGAGATGAGAGAACTTCTGCCCATGTCTGGGTCCAAACACACAGGAAATTTTCAGAAGTGCTCCTGCAGGGCAGCATTCTTTAAAGCTCCCTATGTACTGGGACATGGTGTGGGGCACAAGCAGCTGGGGAGCCTGGAGTTCCTGGTACCTCAGATGCCCATGTCCCACACTTTGAAGGGGCCCTTGCAGCTGGGGAGCAGGGAGCTCCCACTTCTCTAGCTGCCACTTCCATAGGTGCTCCTGGAATTAAAAAATGCAGGCATGCAGCTGAGGCTCTCAGACTTGGGAGACAGTCCCTGATATTAGACTTACAGTGCCTCTCCCCCCATCTGCCTCTGGAGATCAAAGGGAGGGGGTGCTGGCTTCAGGACCCAGTGCTGCCCCTAGGCAGATTCCACTGATCGGGTAGGGGACAGCTGTGTCTTGGGTCTGCCTTGTATGCCAGATCTCTGTGCTCAGCTGAGTTTGGGATCTGTCTTCAGTCAGCCCTGACTTGCCACCTGTTCAGTTTGAGGCATAATACAAACAAGCCACAAAGATGTTACACGTTATATGCAGAATGTCTGTGGGGCACATTTGCTATACTATGATGCCATAAATTGGCTTTAACGTGTGTCCAAGTTACTATTTATCATGTGATTGAAACTTTAATCATGCACATGCTAAATGTAATCTGTGCAAGGGGCCAAAAGGAGACATTTTGCTAGACACTCTGGAGATATGTAGAAAGACTAGATTTCTGCACTACAGAGGTTACAATATTAGGACTCCAATGCAGGAAAGCATATAAGCATGAGTGTAGGCCTGTCCCTTAAATTTTATTACAGTTAATGAATTTAGGCATATAACTAAGTGCTGTCCTGCATCCTATGCTTTCAGGACCAGACTCAGATTAAGATAGAACAAAAGTGAAATAAGAAACAATAGGAAGATAGGGTTTAGGTGATTCTCAGCCTGAGTGTTGTGAGATCCTTTGATAGGTTTGCGGAGGTGTGAGAAGCAAGGTGTGAGGGGATGCAGGCTCAGGCTTGTCCCTGCCTAGTTGGTCCCCCACCCCCACTACTTTCCCCCTCAACAAGGAGGTAAGCACTATAATAAATATATTTGTTTTTGAAATAAGGTGCTACCCACTTTACAAAAGTTTATGGAGGGAATCATTGAGTCTAAAGAGGTTGAGAACCACTGGCTTAAGAGGATAAAGGGAAACAAATTGTTTTATAAAATTATATGGACCAGCCGTACATAAGATTTAATTCTATGGAATTGATAAACACTTCAATTTTTTTAATGTTTATTTTAAACAGTGGCCTCTCTTTTTATTTAAAACTTTTTTTTTTTTGCTTTTAAATTACAGTCTATTTATTTAATGTTTACAAATACATGTTGTAAACTGTTGCCTTTTAACCTTTTTTCGTAGTTGAAATTGTTTATTTTTTTAATATAGGTTCATCAGTTAGGGTGCGAAGCAGTTATGCTGCTGTTGGAGCTCAATCCTGACCAGAGTAACCTCATGTACTGGGCTGTGGACCGGTGTTACACAGGTTCCAAGCGGGTAGCAGCTGGCTGTTTTAAAGCCATAGCTAGTGTATTCCAAAACAGGTAATAGAAAGATGTCCTAAATTTACAACCTTGTTTTCTAAATTGTAACGTTACGTAAAACTTTTTTTCCTTAAATGGTACATTTTACTGTTACTTTTTTTGCACAGTTGAACTTTTGAAAGCATTGATTATATTATCCTGTACAAGACTTTAAGTGAACATACCTTTACTTACTTATTTAATCTGTATTTAAATTATCTGAATATAAATGTGTTAAGTAAATATGTGCAATTCTTTCCTAGGGATTACCAGTGTGATACAGTGACCCTCTTAAATCTGATACTCTTTAAAGCAGCTGATTCAACTAGGGCTATCTATGAAGTTGCTATGCAACTATTACAGGTTTGTAAGCAGTCTTCATTTTATAATATTTCATGTTTTAAAATTAATTACTCTTGTGTACTAGCAAATATAATTCTAGTATTGTTCAGATTTATTTTTCAGTAGTAACATGTTATATGAACATGAGAATATAAGTGCATTATATTTATTCTGTTTATATTAAAGACTTGGTGCAGTCCTTTGGACTGACTAAATTTGCAGATGACAGCATATTATGGGGAAGCGCGGTTGCAGTAGAGGATAGGCTGGAAATTCAGGCCGACCTGGACAGGCTCGCAGGGTGGGCTGATCAAAACCTGATGATATTCAACACGGAGAAATGCAAGGTGCTCCACATCAGGAGAAAAAACCCACATCATACTTATAGTCTCAGCAGTGCTACACTCACTAGTACCACGACTGAAAGAAACCTGGGGGTCATGATCAACCACAAGATGAATATGTGCCACCAGTGTGATGCCACAGCTGGCAAAGCAAATAAAACTTTGGCTTGCATCTACCGATGCATCTCAAGCAAGCCCCAATAAGTCATCCTCCCGCTTTACTTGAGTTTGGTGAGGCTGCATTTAGAGTACTGCATCCAATTCTGGGCTCCACACTTTAGAAAGGATGTGGAGAAGCTTGAGAGTCCAGAGGAGAGCCACGCACATGATCAGAGATCATCAGGAAGAGAGGAGGCCTTATGAGGAGAGGCTTAGAGGCATAAGACTCTTCAGCCTGGAAAAGTGAAGGCTCAGGGGTGACTTGGTAGCAGCCTATAAGTATATAAGGAGTGTGCATCAGGAACTGAGAGAACATCTGTTCACCAGGGCTCCCCAAGGGAAGACAAGGTTTAATGGTCACAGATTGCTGGAATATTGTTTTAGACTGGACTTAAGGAAAAACTTCTTTACCATCCAGACTCTGGAATAGACTCCTTCTCTCCTCTTCCTCCCCCCCCCCCCCCCCCAAATGATGCAAGCCCCTCCCTCGGAAACCTTTA